TCACAGTTGAATGCTGGATGTAGGTGTCTTTGAGCATTTCTGGAAATCTCATTGAGTTTCAGTGAAAATGGGACTTGAACCACAAAGTAGTTTTGGAAATCGTATCTGTGCTTTCCTCCATCCCTTAGGCATAGCTCTACCAAGAAGATCTATAATTAGAAAGGGGCATGGGCCTCTGCAAATTTTGCAGATGGGAATCCTCCCCCTTCACTTCATTTTTTGTACAACCCCTCCCTGTTATCCTGCTTTGTGCTGCAGTGGTGAATGAAAAATGGATACAGTTTGAAGTGAAACATTTCTTCCTTTAAAAGCAATTTCCTCAGCTGACTGATCAATATGTTGTCCAAGGGATGGTAGGTTTGTTGTCAGCTAAAGCAATGTAAAGAATTTACACTCATGTGCTATTTAGGCATTCACAGTGTCAGCTGCTGCAAAAGGCTTTTTGTGCCTAAACTCCATTTGTGTTTGCGAAAAAGGGGGTAAAGTGTATTTTTCTTTAAATGTAGCAATTGCAAAAATGAAGATTCAAAAAAGTACTAAAAGTGCTTGAATTAGAGTTCCTTCTAAATAATAATTAAGATGTATTTTCTAAGAGCTGGATCAATGATGCTCAAAGAACTGATATTATATACTTTTTATCGCCCTCATTTTAGTTACCTTTTTAGCTCTGTCTATGGCAAAAGTGTCCCGGTAGCTCAGATAAGAAATTATGGGAACATCTTAGTTCACTGCAGTCCTGTACCCTGACCACCTCAACAAAGACAAAATCTTTGGAGAACCGAGCTAAATGCTAACAGAGTTCTCCAAAGCATGTGAAAACCAAAGCTTTTCCAACATTCAGATATTGGGTTGATTCCTTCAGGAAAGAGAGAGGTATATTCCTGATACCAGAGCAACCTACTGCCACATTTCAAGTCCCAGACATGAAGGCAGTAGAGCACCTGAGCTGAAGTGCTTTAAGAGTATATTATAAACTGGGCAAAACCATTTCTTTTATCCTAGCCTTTCTTCAAGATCTAACCCATTTCATTGACACTTCGGGCAGCAACAGCAATGTAATTGCCCTGAGACACACGAAATTTCAGCTTGGAGGTTTACAGTTCAGCTAAATTATAAGTAACCGAGAACAGTTTTATTGTGGAAGGTGTCAGGAAAATTGTAATGGGAGGCAACACTGTGTGCTGTCCTTAACACAGTAACAGATTATGAAATGTTTGTAATATTCAGCAGGCATGCTGAGCATGTATGAACGTTGTTGGTATGTTTGCCTGGAGGATTAATGGCACTTAATGACATTATTTATATACTTCTCAAAGCAGTGCAGAATGTTTCTGTAGCTCCTCAACTGTCTGCTATGCCTGTAGAAAGCAGCGATGCCTCCGTGGCTGTTAATGCAATTATGATGAATTTCATAAATAAGATCCACTCTTCAGGGTTAATTTCCAAATTTCTTTATGCAGTGAATATGAAATGAAGTTAAAAGCAGATGTTTTCGGAAGTTAGACAGGACTGGAATGAGTTTAAATGTTAACACAGATTAATAAGCGGAATGCTGTGTTCATTTGAGCTAATTATTTTCTCAGAAGGCATCCATCCTATTTAGGCAATTACACAGCCTCAAGTCTTCATTTCTTACCAATACTACCAAGGGACTTCATCTGCCAGTTTAAGTTTGAGACTGTTCATGTGTTTTTAATAACATAGATTTAATTTGAAAGCTGCATTTGCACTGTTTCCATATGAATATTCCACACTTACAGAGAAATGCATTTATTCTAAATTTAAACTGTAACTATAGTAACCAACATTTGCTGTGTTTCAGTAGGAAATATATAAGCCCACTCAGACAGAAGGAAACATGTTGTGTTAATTATCATTCTATCAAAAGAGTTTGTATTTTAAAAAATAATTCTCAGAAACTAGGTATTCTTACTATCCATACTTGAAATCAAGAGATTTGCAGGAATGTATTCTAATGTCATTTGTGGGAAACTGAAAGTTAGAAAAAGGGTCATATGTGGACCAGTTTGGAGGATATAATAAACCTCACTTCTTTACCAGCTATTTATTGTCTAATAAAAATACAATATCGAGCTCTTATAAGCTAGCTTTGCAGTATTCAACTTAGATTTCCTAGAGCAATTCCTAATCCTAGACAAATAGAGTTACTGTTTCAATTATAGGTAGATGATCAGATTTTTTTGCTTGGGCCAGTAGATTATAGATTCTGTAGATGATTTTGCAAAGGTAGTAAATGTCACTTTTACAGTAATGACCATATTAGTCAAGGTGAGTAAGGACATGAATAGCTTCTTCCTTTCTTTAGATTTCTCTCTCTGCACCTGGTTGTCTTAGGGGTTGATTTTATTTAGGGGATAGCTCACCCCTTCTTAGATATAGTTTTTTTAATTCCTGGCATTATTACTTAAGCATACTGTGTTAAAAGTTTAAATATACAACATATGTAAATCTTGCAATAATGGTGAACTTTCCAAATACACTAAGGGTATACAGTTTTCCCACAGGTAAAATATTTACCACATATATTTCAGTATGCTAATAGATTTTAAGTTTTACTGACATGTTTTTAAAATAATGCTCATTCATTGAATATTGGAAATCAGGATATTGATCCATAATATTTAGGAACAGAAACACTGAATTTTCTAGTGCGATGTCCTTTACAAATGCCTTGTGTGTCTCTTTTTTCCCTCTATACTGAGGACTGTAACTTCTGTTTGTCCAGTCTTGATTCTAAGATACAAATGGATAAAGATGCCACACATTCCTCTTCTATATTATTTTGGTGGCTAAAGATATTAAGCATTAAAAAGTAAAACTGTCTGTGTTTTCTTTAGAATTAATTTGTTTGGCATCAGCTCGTTGCCAATGATTTTGATATGTGTTTCTCTCCCAAAGAGAATTTTTTAGATCTCAGTATTTTCTCACTCTGAAAGCATTGCATATACAATATAACAACTCCTCTCTCAAGCTGTGTTTATTGAAGCTACGGCTATCAGGATCAAATAACTTTTGAGGCTTTTAATTGGAGCACTTCAACTTTCTTTAAATATATAAATACCAGAATTGTACAGACTAAGCCACATTTTGGGTCATACCACTGCAGTTTGGGCTCTCAGGTCGCAGGAGATGGGCTTACAGGGGCTGTATGCTCTGGTTTTTCAGACCAGGATTGAGCTTTCAAAGCAAATGTCCTTTTTGCCCTCTCTTTCTGTCCTTTGGTTCATCTCATGGGGCAGTCTTGGTGAACACATACTAGATTTGTTTGTATTAAACTGATCGTGAGGATGAGCGCACCCAATGCACCCACCTGCTAACGGGTGGTCAGTTCATGGGGCCAGACTAGAACTAGCCCAAAGAAGAAAAACCCGAAATGTATAGTTTGTGTCCTTTCCTATTTGGCCACACTATTTGGTAGTGTGAACCTGCCCATCTTTGTTTTCAGAACTCAGCCACTCGCAATGAGGGCTTCACTGAAATGAGTCAGAAAAATAAATTCTTTGCCTTCTATCTGCTTGCAGATGTTTGTGGAGGGCATGGTTTAAATAAGACCACCCACCCAATTCACAGCTTTTTAGAGTGGCTGAAAATAGCTCTTCTGCCCCTAGGCATTTCTACATCTCCTCAGAAATGCTCTTTTTTGGCAAAACTGTAGTTTTAAGTGATCAAAACCTCAAGAAAGTTTCTCTGCACGTGAATATTCTAACAAATAGCATGCCTCCATCTTTCAGAAGATAAATTTGAAATTCATTTGTAAATAAGGTTTTTAAAACAAGAAGAACTTTCCAGTGATAGCATATTCAAAATTACTTCAGTCAAGCTGAGGGCAAGACCCTTAAAAATCTATGGTATTGTAAAGTCAGTTTTGCAGAACCTAAGATTTAAACAGTGACCATGTGCAAGTGGCTCTGCAAAGCTATGGGCAGACTGACTGTGTGTGCATGGTGAATGTTGGTTTATGGGTTTGAGGCAATTTGAGAAAACTTAGAATACCTAACACATTTGTTAAGAATTGTCCAATAACACACTGGCCCCTGGAAAGCTTCTAGGTACCTCCCTCAAACTCAGGTTAATAAGAAATTCTCTGTTTTTCTTGGAGATTCAAGGCAAAGGTTGCTCTGAAGCTCTTCCCCTCTTCCAGCCTGGATCATCTCAGTCGGCTGATTAACTCTTTAAAACCATTACAACCTATTCACTTTTATTACTCTGTTACTTTTCTGCTGCGGAGAAGGCAGCAACGAGGGGCTCTGCTGGGAGCAATGGGAACTGAGGCAGTGGGAGGGAAAAGGAGCAAGACTCTCCTTTCCAACAACTGCAATTTCTTACATCTTCGCAACCCATCGTGTTGAAACTTCATCCTTTTTACTTTGTATTTGCCATGAGCATAGACACTGTTCACGACTGCTGTGGTCACATGCTGTTTTGTAAGCTATTTTTTAGTAATTTTTAAGGTATTTTTTAAGCAGTTCATTAGTCTGAAAACATGGGTTTTTTTAAAAAATAGATTCAGAAATTGTGGGATTCACTTTACCGTATTTGCATGATCTAAAATTTACTCCATCGTGAAGTGCACATCTGAAAGCACTGAGGTGAACAGCTTACTCTTTTTCTGTCCTTATTTCATTCCTCTGACCACAGAAGAACTCTAAATGTTGCCTGATTTTTGGACAGCTTAAATTAGAGAGGGTAAATCTGTCCTTAATGTGCTTTTCCCACACTCCCACGTGTGTTGGGAGAGGGTGCTGTTCTGCTGGCGTAGGGCAGCCAAGGCTCCTCGAATCCAGTCCTGTGTTTGCCAGAAAACTGCTGCTTGGCTGAGGAAGTGACCTGACATCTCACTCTTTACAATTTATAAAATTTGCCTTAAATGCTCACTTTATGCATAGTAAGCCACCAATGGTCTTGGGAGATCAGATATCAAACATGTACGAAACGCTGCTATAATCAACATGTGTTTATTTGTGTTTGCTTTTCCTCAGAGTTGAAAGAAAGGAGCGTGCACGTTTGAAGACGGTGAAATTCAACGCAAAACCTGGTGTAATTGATGCAAAAGGGGTACGTAAATAGTGAAACCTTTTGAAATTGCACTTTGTTTTATATGTTTCAGAGTAGAGAAAATTTTGGCAACGTAAGGAATATTTAGATTGTTGCAACCAAGACCTGGAGTATAGTGAAATATGGACAGGAGTATTGTATGATATAATCTTCTAAATAATTCTTTTTATAATAATGCTGACTGACAGTGCCTCCTAATTGGAAGATACTAAGAAAATAAAGAGCATTCTGTGATAGCTGCGGTTGTAGTTAAATGATGGATAGCGAAGAACAGACATTAAAACCCAGTGCAGATGGATAATTGTTAAATGAAATAGGGCATGAAGTGTAAATTCCCTGGCTTCAAAAGCTGTTAAATCTCAAACAAAAGGCTGAATGTTAAAGAGTCCTGGATGCAAAATTTAGGTTTCGGATGTTCTGCTTTGACAGTTGTGACAGACATTGAACACAGGTGTGTTTCACAGCAGGCACGACGGGCCAGCCAACACAAAACAGGCGAGATCCCTTCCACCAGCGCTATCGGGACAGAACAGCCTTCCTGCTGTTACCGCTCTGCAGCATTGCTTTATTGTGCCCAACAGTCAACAGTTCTCACTAGCCTGATGTCTAATATCCTGTGCGTTGCCGTCTGGCTAGCAAGAGTTATAGCATGAGAAATGCCCACAGTCCTGGCTGTTGAGGTATATTTTTTCTGCTGAAGCGTAGCTTGCATTTGTAGCACTAGTGAATGCTTGACGTTACGTTTGCAGGGATTTATTTTTGAAAACGGTCCTGACTTCTGAGAGCAAACCAAGAGACAGAGCTTCAGAAACCATCGGCAAAAAGTCCTATTTGGCTGCAGAAAACACAGGTGGTGAGAGGACACAGCCATAGGTAGATGCTAGCAAGGGACAAAACCAAATGGTTCAGCAGGTCCCTTCCAGACCCACCGTTCCTGTGGTCCTCTGCCTAGTTTGAAATTCTCATTCTTAATCTCTTCTTTCTTCAGTTTCCCACTGTAATGGGAATAATAATACTTCCCTTATCCCAGTTTATTCTGTCCTTTCACTCAAATTAGCAGGGTAAGGAGTTCCTCTTGCTATGAACATGCAGTTCCTAGCGCAGTGGGTCCCAAGTCTCTACGTGTCAGCAAGGTAATATTTCATACTTGAGAATACTTCCCTGTTACTGCTCTACAGAACAGTTCCCGAGTTCAGTGCAAATGCAGAATAATTGCACTGACTGAAACCAGATTTACAAGGTACATAGAATCAGAGTTCAGCCTCTGCACATTATTTGCACATGCAGATAACTTGGTATAAAATATATAACAAACTGCATCGTGAAAGGACTTATTCATCCCATTGCATTCCTTCAGGAGTCAAAACTCCATTTTTTAGTTTGAAATGACCACTCTCATGTTGTCATTTATTTTGGGAGATAATAAGCTTTATATTGCCAATGAAAGTACTTGTTTAATGTCTATTTCCTGTATATAATCAAAGCCTCCAGGGAATAATTCATTCATGTAGCTAATGGTCCTTATTCAAGTGAGTCTGTCAAGAATTTAATTACCTCTTGATTCCCCAAATTGTTTTTCCATTTTTGTCATCAGTGTAACATTAATCTTCCAGCCACTCACGTCAATGTTTTTTCAGTGTTTAGGAAATTGCGTAATTACAGACCATGACCGTTGTACCCATTTGGGAGTACACTTTCTATTGTTAGTATTTGCTAAAATTTGCTTTTGCCTATTAAAAAAAAAAATCCCACAATTTCAAGGCTTTTTGGGAAAAGATAATGTAGGCTTGTGTTTGAAAGAGCATAAAAGGAAGAAGGGTCGACTGTTAAAATAAGCATCAACACATAAAAGGAGGTGTTTGAGCACAGGTGTGCACATACAACGTATGTGCATTTTAGGGATCAGCATTTCCATTTAGTCTTTCAGTGTTCAAAAAGAAGCATTGTAAGCTGTCTGACAGTGCATGCTTTACTTTTTTAATCAGCAAGAAATTCAGTCCAGATACGCAAGGCTGCAGTAGGCCCAGGAGAACTCTTTTGTTTCAAAATCAAGCTAAAATTCAGATAGGAATGGGCTTATGTGTGTCTGTTTCACTTTTGTGCTCAGACATTCGTGACCGTGTGGGCAAGTGGTACTGTCTTCATTTACTCTAAAGATGAAATTGGGACAATAGCTTTTCATCGGATATTTCTAAATTTGGTCCCAAGATGTGCATGGAAGCATTTTTTAAACAAAATTTAACTGAATACAGAGAATCCTTGGGGGGGGGGGGGGGGGCACAGGACAAGGGG